CTTTCCGTAGTGTGTGCTAACCAGTGCTAACAAAGTTTTTGTGTTTTGTAAATAAATATTTAAGTAAGTAGGTACTAATATTAATAGGTCTTTACCACAGAGCTACCTACTATGAAATTGCCGCTTTTTTGCTTTGTTTTAATTTGTTTCTTAAAAATGTAAAACATTATAGGTACTTATATCTCTATCGAAATTAATGTTTTATCTCAAAAATAGAGTAGGTAAGTACTTCAGTAAGTAGGTTTATAATGTTTCACGCTAGTAACGGCAATTTCACCTAATATGATAAGGCAAACGTAAATTTGTTTATTACCTAATACTTTATTATTATTATTTACAAAATACAAAAACATAATAATATTTTTAAGTACTTAATTAAATTTTTGTAGAACTATTTCGTGAAAGAAAATAACTAATTAGAGGAGACTTTTGTGATTGTTTGTAACAAAAAAAAATGGCATCTAAGCGAAAATCTAGTCCACTGTGGAACCACTTTGAGCAAACGGAGCCAAAGAAAGCAAAGTGTCTGTATTGTTTAAAGATTCTGGCAATGTCTTCTAGCTCCATTGGTAGCTTAAGCCGGCACATAAAACAAGTACATCCCACTATAAATATATCGATGAACAGATTAGAACCTGTTCAAGAAGTGTCCTCGGCTGATGTAAGTGAAGTAGCTAGTACAAGCACCGCAAATTTGAACGTACAAGCCACAATAGGTAGTACTTCTAGAACTACCCCTCCAGCTCCGTCTATGAACCAATTTGTTGTGGTGAAAAAGCCCCTGCCACTAAATAGAATTCAGCAGATCGACGAACAATTAATCAGAATGATTGCAAAAGGCTATCACGCTTTGAGAATCGTAGAGGAAAGAGAGTTTCGAAAATTAGTCGAAATGCTAAATTCTGGATACTCACTACCCACACGCAAAACAGTTTCGGAAACTCTGCTTCCTAAAGTTTACAATAAACTATTAGAAAATGTAAAAAGCAAAATCACAAAAGCTACGGCTATATGTATCACCACCGATGGTTGGAAATCTATTACTAATGATGACTATATTGCAATAACTGCACATTATATAGACGTAGACTCCCATCAATTAGTGTCAGTTATGATTGGGTGCATTAATTTTGATCAAAGTCACACAAGTGTAAATATATCTGATTTCCTGAGGCAAAAGTTCACAGAGTGGAACATCGAAAATAACATTGGCGCGATTGTCAGCGACAACGCCGCTAACATTTTGGGCGCAGTGCGGATAGGTGGTTGGAGATCAGTTAGCTGTTTCGCCCACAGTCTTAACTTAGTTGTGCAAGCAAGTATCGACAAAATTGCACACATACTGATAAAAGTTAAGCAATTAGTGGAATACTTTCATCGTAGTCAGCCTGGGGCTAAAAAACTTAAAGAAATGCAGGTTCAAATGAACATTGGGCCACTTAAATTGAAACAAGACGTCAGTACACGGTGGAATTCCACTTACGACATGTTGGACCGTCTACTGAGGATTAAAGATGCTGTGACTGCTACTGTGGCAATTATGAGGGCTGATTTAGCCCTATCACAAGAGGAGTGGGCGATTGTAGAAAGAGCGATCCCTATTTTAAAGGTGTTCTACGAAGTCACCAATGAAGTGAGTGGAGAAGAATACGTCTCCGCTTCAAAATATATTGTTTTTTGCAAGCTGTTGTTTATGCAAATAGAAAAAACTTCTGCCGAGACCTATGCACCGATTGAGGAACTAGTGGCGTCATTAAAATTCGAGATGAGACGTAGATTCGGCGATATCGAAAAACATGTCCTGCTTAGTGAAGCTACTATCTTAGACCCACGCTTTAAAAAAACTGGATTTCGTGATCCTATCAACTTCCAGAATGCCGCAGCTGCACTCAAAATGAAAATCGGTAGAATTGTCTTGCCCGATGAGGACACAGCAAACAATCCAGTGCCCGAAGAACCGACCCCTGGTCCTTCTAAAACAGGTTCAATTTGGGAGGATTTCGATGTCGAAGTTTCGCGATTGATACCAGAAAATCCAACTGCAGCCGGAATCGTGGAATTTGATAAATATTTACAGGAGCCGTTGATCAGCCGGCATCAAGATCCGCTGCAGTGGTGGAGGGAACGTAAAGGAGTTTATCCGCGACTCCACAGATATATGCTAAAACGCCTAAATATCACGGCAACATCTGTTCCTTGCGAGCGAGTCTTTTCTAAAGCAGGGTTAACGCTGAACGAAAGAAGAACTCGGCTTACAACAAAAAAAATATCGGAACTTATGTTCATTAGTTGCAATAAGATGTGAAATAGTTACCTATGTTACAAAAAAAAAACTAAAAAAATTCAAAAAAATACATAAAAAAAAAGATAAAAATGTAAATATTGTACAAATGTGTATATATGCGTTTGTATATGTGTATATATGTATAAACCAATCAATGTTGTAAATAGTTGATTTTTAAATACGCCTGTCTTCCTTAAACAAAGATTGCCAGTCCTAAGCCTGGAGGGCCCCTTTCTTTATTTTGTTTTACATTTGCTTGCGTTCATTACAATTATTAACAAACAACATAAAGTACGTGGCCAAGTATGAAGGAAAATCAACTACATTTTTTTAATATTTACTTAAATTGTAATTTTACG